GTTTAAGCCTCAGTTAAAAATTGAAAAAAAATATTTGAAAATTTATGAAAAATCAACATTAGAACTTGATTAATTTTTTGAAAAAAAAATTACTAAGAAATCGCTTTTATTTACGAAAAATTAACTCAGTTAGAGATTAAAAATAATATTTGTGAAAAATTTGCATTTATTTGTGAACATTGAAGCTCAGTTGGATTTTGGAAACAGATATTCCTTAAAGATTTTTTATGAATTTGACACTCAATTAAAGCTGGGGAAAAATATTTATTAAAAAATCCACGTTTGAGGGAAAACAAAAGGACTTAAGGCATAAACATATTATTACAACACTTCACTGAATATATAATAAAACCTACTTTTAAAATTTAATTTTTTGTATATCGTACGGGGAGAAATCTCTATTATTATTTCCAATTATAGATCCTTTTTTGTTTACATTTATATTTCCAATTATTATTCGCCAGTAGCAGTTTAATGAATTCACACATAAACAGTGTTATTCTCTTCCTGAGATTACATTACAACAACTCACCCGTTTTACAGCTCTCTGAGTTTTAATGAGAGTTTATATTTTTCTTATAATTTCTAGTCATACGCCCTTAATTGTTTACATTTGTATATTCTTTCTTTATTTCCATTTCTACTTTACTCTCACCCTTTGCAAGAGCTGTCCCCTTTATGAGACTATAATTACTCAGTGGCATGACTTTGGTTTTAATCAAAAGACTTAAGTCACAAACACTGCTGTGCCATTGCTCCAATATTTATGCTCTCTCTCCTTGTTTAAATCCAATGCAACTGTACTCTCACACAGACAACACATACACACAGAGTCAAACTGTACTCTCTGTTTATTTTGACTTCAGTTTGGCGCAAAAATTCCTCGTTTATGAGGCAATCAACTTGAATCCAACTAGAAACAAGTCCCTGAATTTCTACCTGCTTCCCAAGAGGACCCTTGGCAAAATTATGTGCTACGGCATGCACAATTTTGCTTAAATTTCGAGAGAAAAAAAGGGAACCCATAAAATGAAAATAAAAATAAATGGAATACTAATTCGTCACACAACAGTGAACAACACTTACATTGTTGTTGTTGTGTGCGGATGGTAAGCCAGAAAAAGGATAAGAGCTAAAGCAAAGCAGGATTATAACAAAAACAAATCCCAACAAAAAAGGGACATCAATTATTCACTTGGCATTTTTGAGGAAGACTTACAAAAATAACAAAAAAAATCCCAAACACTTGTGTGCCGAAAAAAATTGAACAAAACACTAACAATTTTCCAAGAGAGTAAGGGAAAGAGAAGAAAACTGAGTCCACACAAATTGTTGGTGGTAACACTGAAGGTTACTTAATTTGTATTAATTTTGCATTTCGTCTGTCCCTATGGCGGTACTAACTGTCCGTCCTGGTAATTTTAAGTAGTTGTGAATGAATGAATTTCGGGAAAAGGGTCCAAAGGATGATTAACCAAAAAGCAGGTAAAAATTGTTCAATGTTTTTATCCCTTGCCTTGCTCACGTCTCCTAACAGGGTCTAAATGCATTTGCGATGATGACTAGACTAGTTTTTCATGACCAATAACTTGTGGGGGTTTTTCCTAGGAAAAACTTGTCATAAATTTAATGGTGTCGCCGTTGAGCAGAATTTTTGTTGTTGTTTTAATGTCAGTTATCTCTTTGGCTCCTTGAACACAGCTACACATGTAGTTGTAGGTTGTTCAGAGATTTTTGGGAATTTTGTCATGAACTTGCCAGGAATTGGGCACCAGCAATGTTGGTTAGAAGCTAACAGTTAGTGGTGTTAAATTATATCCTGCGGTGTTTATTTTTGTTAGACCATGATTTATGCCGTTGCTGCTGAGAGGGGGGTCCTTTGAATACGTGACTGGACTAAGGGGTATTAGGATATACTTCCACTAATTTTGATTTACACAGACCTGTCGATTCAGGAAGGAAATTAACGGGGACAGGTTGAAGGAGGTTTAGGAATAAGGAAGATCTCTCAAAAGGAGCTTCAATTGTTGAGTAAAAAATAAAAATAATCCCCAGAAATCAAATGGATTTTTAGAGAATATTTTACAAACCCCAAGAATCCCAGAAACGTGAATTTTTTTTAAAGAATATTTTTTCAAGGATCATATGCCCCAGAAAAGGGGGTTTTTTTTGAGATTATTTTTCCAGAAACGTGGATTTTTTAAAGAATATTTTTCCAGAAACGTGGATTTTTTAAAGATTATTTTTCCAGAAACGTGGATTTTTTTAAAGATTATTTTTCAAGAATCGTGGATTTTTTAAAGATTATTTTTCCAGAAACGTGGATTTTTTAAAGAATATTTTTCCAGAAACGTGGATTTTTTTAAGATTATTTTTCCAGAAACGTGGATTTTTCAAAGATTATTTTTCCAGAAACGTGGATTTTTTAAAGATTATTTTTCCAGAAACGTGGATTTTTTAAAGAATATTTTTCCAGAAACGTGGATTTTTTATAGATTATTTTTCCAGAAACGTGGATTTTTTAAAGATTATTTTTCAAGAATCGTGGATTTTTTAAAGAATATTTTTCCAGAAACGTGGATTTTTTTAAAGATTATTTTTCAAGAATCGTGGATTTTTTTAAAGATTATTTTTCAAGAATCGTGAATTTTTTAAAGATTATTTTTCAAGAATCGTGGATTTTTTAAAGATTATTTTTCAAGAATCGTGGATTTTTTTAAAGATTATTTTTCAAGAATCGTGAATTTTTTAAAGATTATTTTTCAAGAATCGTGGATTTTTTAAAGATTATTTTTCAAGAATCGTGGATTTTTTAAAGAATATTTTTTCAAGGATCAAAGAATATTTCCTTGCCCCAGGAACATGGATTTTTTAAAGAATATTTTTTCAAGGATCAAAGAATATTTCCTTGCCCCAGGAACATGGATTTTTTAAAGAATATTTTTTCAAGGATCAAAGAATATTTCCTTGCCCCAGGAACATGGATTTTTTAAAGAATATTTCCTTGCCCCAGGAACATGGATTTTTTAAAGAATATTTTTCAAGGATCAAAGAATATTTCCTTGCCCCAGGAAAATGGATTTTTTAAAGAATATTTTTCAAGGATCAAAGAATATTTCCTTGCCCCAGGAAAATGGATTTTTTAAAGAATATTTTTTCAAGGATCAAAGAATATTTCCGCAAGGGTCAAATGCCCCAGGAACGTGGATTTTTTAAAGAATATTTTTCCAAGGACCAAATGCCCCAGAAACGTGGATTTTTTAAAGAATATTTTTTCAAGGATCAAAGAATATTTTCTAAAGAATAATTTTCCAAGGACCAAATGCAACAGGAACGTGGATTTTTTAAAGAATATTTTTTCAAGGATCAAAGAATATTTTCTAAAGAATATTTTTCCAAGGACCAAATGCCCCAAGAACGTGGATTTTTTAAAGAATATTTTTTCAAGGATCAAAGAATATTTTTTCAAGGGTCAAATGCCCCAAGAACGTGCATTTTTTAAAGAATATTTTTTCAAGGATCAAAGCATATTTTTTAAAGAATATCTTTCCAAGGACCAAATGCCCCAGAAACGTGGATTTTTTAAAGAATATTTTTCCAAGGACCAAATGCCTCAGAAACGTGGATTTTTTAAAGAATATTTTTCCAAGGACCAAATGCCCCAGAAACGTGGATTTTTTAAAGAATATTTTTTCAAGGATCAAAGAATATTTTCTCAAGGGTCAAGTGCCCCAGAAACGTGGATTTTTTAAAGAATATTTTTCCAAGGACCAAATGTCCCAGAAACGTGGATTTTTTAAAGAATATTTTTCCAAGGACCAAATGCCCCAGAAACGTGGATTTTTTAAAGAATATTTTTCCAAGGACCAAATGCCCCAGAAACGTGGATTTTTTAAAGAATATTTTTCCAAGGACCAAATGCCCCAGAAACGTGGATTTTTTAAAGAATATTTTTCCAAGGACCAAATGCCCCAGAAACGTGGATTTTTTAAAGAATATTTTTCCAAGGACTAAATGCCCCAGAAAGAAAGGAAGACTTTTCAATGAAAATTTTCAGGGTAACACGAGCCAAATAGATTCAGTTCCAACTTTTTTTTTTTTTAATCATTTTGATTTCTTTTCAATTGGAAAATCAGGCCATTTTTGATTGTCCCTTGAAGTTTATGACCCACTTCTGTTTTGTTTTGAAAACAATTTTCTCCCTGCCCCCAACCTAAGAAAGACTCTCAATTTCTTAAAGGATTTTTAAAATTCAAATAAGCATCGTCTTCGTAAAGTAATTCTCTCTCCCTTTTCAACCTGTCGTGGGATACTAAGGATTTCAATAAGAAAATGTTTACCATAAATAAATCTCCACAATATTTTAAAATCCTTAGACTCCCTGCAAATGCTCTCCCGCAAAGATTCAAATATTCTCCCAATTTCGACTTAACCTCTGAAGATGATTAAATTCTACATTTTTTTCTAGAATCTTTTTTTTTAGATAACAATTCTAAGTGGTTGAAAAACGAAAAAAAAAACAATTAATGGACCTTTTTTCTCTGACCCTGGAGAGAGATCAAATTACATTAGAAAAAAAGATCCCCTGCCGAGTTTTATTTAAAAAAAATCCACCCCAAAAAATAATAATCTGGCCGAGCAGGTAGCTAGAATTTCCCTGAATAAAAAGTAAACTCGCCTTTGAGACAAGTACAGCACACAGCTATATAACCTGCTCTCAGATTTGAAACACACACACACACAAATTCAGGGAGAAATAAAACAAAGAGAAAGAGAGAGAGTATGATTTATGTAAATAAAAGAGAGACTTGGAAAAAAACACCTGCCTCAAAACGAGCTGTGATTGGCTGATGTGTAGCCAAGCAAGAGCACAAAGAGAGAGTTTTCTGGGTACACACTCAGAGACGTTTGCCTATAAAAGCGCAGACGCAACCATGCCAGAGCATAGTTCAACGAATAACTTCAAACCGACAACATCAAGTCTTTGATTTCAAATTCATTTAATTTTCAAAAGAAAAACGAAAATGTCTTTCATGACTCGTGAATACAAATTCAATACCACCCTGCAAATGCAGAAAAAAGATCAACACACCATGGCCATGCGCAGTTTCAAGAAACTGGTGAAACCGCTGCTGAGATTGGTCAAGAAAAAGCAGCTTTTGCGCAAAACCCTGGCAGAGATTCAACAGAATACCTACAATTCCAGTCTGGAAGATATGCGCAAAGATCCCGTTTCTTTGAATGCCGCCCAAGACAATGTGGCGAATGAGGCTTTGGAGCAGCGCATTTTCAATGAAATCCGTCATTGTCCCAACAATGCTGCCGTCATTGTGCATCAGGGTCAGCAACAGCATGTGGTGTCCGTTAGCCAAACCCAAAACTACATTCCTGTGCATTTTGCCCGCACCGACAGTGGCACCTTCTTTTGGACCTCCATGGACATGGCCCAGCAGCAGGAGATGAAAATGCGCTCCCAACTGGATAGATGGGCCCAGGCTTAAAAGCGGACAACAAACAACAACAAAATTTATTTAATTTCTGTGAGAGGATCATAGCAAAAACAAAAGGGTATCAGCTTTAAATAATTCAGGCAAATTTTCCATTCACAAAAAAAAAAATTTGGAAATTTGGAAAATTTGCACTGAAATGCTTTAACTATTTTCAATAGAAATTTGTGGTGATATTAGTTTTTATAGGTTTTACTTTTTTTCGTTAAATGAAAAAAATCCATAACATAATAATTGATATTCAATTGTGAGGTAATTAATTTTATTTGTATAGGAAATTTCAATTTTGAAATGTTTATTCAATTAATTTATTGTGATTCTTAACTGAGAATTGATCATTGTCTTCCATTAGTTGTTTAGGGATTTTCTTAGGTTAATATCCACTGTCTTCCATGTAAAATGTAGATTTTTTTGTAAGAGGTTTTCTAGTTTTATAAGAAATACAAAAAAAAAATAAAATAAAATTAAAAAATAAACAACATTTTTAAATACAAAAGAAATTTTTATTTGTGTTTTTATTTAAAAAAAAAATATTGGAAAAAAATCTGTTTCAACAGAAGGGTGGTAACATGGTTAGAGATCTGTGTGTCTATTTAACAATGGGTTAATGACAAACTTGAAATCCAAATGAGATTTGAAATATAAAAAAAAATATATATAAAGATGACACAAAGCAAGGAAAAAAGCCGCCCTCCACCATTTGGAACGAATTTGGCAATTTTCAAAAAAAAAAAAAAAAAAAATCCGTCGAAAATTCAGTTAAAATTTTAAAAGTAAATTCGGAGGCTATCCGATGATGTGGACCTGCACAGACAATTTTCTGTCATAAGCTGAAGTATCGATTACGAACTTCAAATACCAAATTTGAAACATTTCCGGCAAATAATGTCGTATATATCACCAAAATACCGAATATCGGGAGGTACCGCTATATGGAAGCTATACGAAGACGTGAACCCGCACAGCCAATTTTCTGCCTTAGGTTGTAGTATCCATTACGAACTTCAAATACCAAATTTGAAACAATTCCGGTGGATAATGTAGCTAAAATCATCAAAATACCAAAAAAGGGAAGGTACCATTATATGGGAGCTATACGAAGACGTAGACCGGCACAGACAATTTTCTATCACAGGCTGTAGTATCCATTACGAACTTCAAATACGAAATTTGAAACAATTCCGGTAAATAATGTCGCTAAAATATTCAAAATACTGAATATCGGGAGGTACCGTTATATGGGGGCTATACGAAGACTTGGACCTGGACAGACAATTTTCTGTCATAGGCTGTAGTATTCATTACGAACTTCAAATACCAAATTTGAAACAATTCCGATGAATAATGACGCTAAAATCATCAAAATACCGAATATCGGGAGGCCCCGTAATATGGGGGCTATACAAAGACGTGAACCTGCACAGACAATTTTGTGTCACAGGCTGTAGTATCCATTACGAACTTCAAATACCAAATTTGAAACATTTTCGTTGAATAATGCAGCTAAAATCATCAAAATACCGAATATTGGGAGGTACCGTTATATGGGGGCTATACGAAGACGTAGACCGGCACAGACAATTTTCTGTATTAGGCTGCAGTATTCATTACGAACTTCAAATACCAAATTTGAAACATTTCCGGCGAATAATGTCGCTAAAATCATCAAAATACAGAATATCGGGAGGTACTGTTATATGGGGGCTATACGAAGACGTGAACCTGGAAAGACAATTTTCTGTCTTATGCTGTAGTATCCATCACGAACTTGAAATACCAAATTTGAAACTACTCCGTTGAATAGTTTCTCTAAAATCATGAAAATACCGAATATCGCAAGGTACAGTTATATGGGGAATATATCAAAACGTGGACCTACACGGTCCATTTTCAATACCAAAAGTCCTGCCGACATAATATAAATTTGAGTAAAATTTTATCAACTTACTTCATTTCGTTCGAAAGCTAGAGTGATTTCCACAGACGGATAGTCGGACGGACATCGCTAAATCGACATAGAATTTTATGCTGATCAAGAATAAATATACTTTGTGGGGTCTAAAATGTATATTTCGAGGTGTTACCAGCGGAATGACAAACTTAATATATCCTCCATACTATGGTGGAGGGTATAAAAATCCACCCTCTGGAGGTCCTGGAAAAAAATCCTTCATAAAATCCACATTTTAAAAAATTCACATTAATAATTCAGTTGGTCTTTGGAACAAAATTATTTAAAAAATTTCAAATTCTATAAAAAATCCACGGCTCTGGGGATCCTGAAAACAATTCTTTATAAAATTCAAATTTTAGCTCTGTTGGTCATCGCAAAAATTCGTTAGAAAATCCACCACTGATGGCCCTGTTGATCGTTAGAAAAAAAAATTATAAACAAAATCAACCTTTATGGCTCTGGTGGACCTTGGTTGTCCAAGGAAAATTCTTTGTTGGTCCTTGCAAAAATTCATTTAAAAATTCGCCATTGGTTTATTGGTCTGTTGGTTCTTAAAAAAAAAAATCTTTAAAAAATCTACGTTTATTGGTCTGTTCTTTAAAAAATCCACGTTTCTGGCTACTGAAGTTCTCGGAACAAGAATATTTTAAAATCCACGTTTCTGGCTACTAAAGTCCTCTGAAAAAAATCTTTAAAAATCCACGTTTCTGGCTACTGAAGTCCTCTGAAAAAAATCTTAAAAAAATCCAAGTTTCTGGCTACTGAAGTCCTCGAAAAAAAAATTTAAAAAATCCACGTTTCTGGCTACTGAAGTCCTGGGAAAAAAATTCTTCAAAAAATCCACGTTTCTGGCTACTGAAGTCCTGGGAAAAAATTCTTTAAAAATCCACTGAAGTCCTCTGAAAAAAATCTTTAATAAATCAACGTTTCTGGCTACTAAAGTCCTCGGAAAAAAATTCTTTAAAAAATCCACGTTTCTGCCTTGGAAGTCTTCGAAAAAAAAAATCCACGCTTGTTGGTCTATTTGTCCTCGGAAAAAAATTATTTAAAAAATCCACGTTTGTTGGTCTATTTGTCCTTGGAAAAAAATCTTTAAAAAATCTACGTTTCTGCCTCGAAAGTCCTCGAAAAAAAATCCACGCTTGTTGGTCTATTTGTCCTCGGAAAAAATTCTTTAAAAAATCCAAATTTGGGAAAAATTCTTTAAAAAATCCACGTTTATTGGTTTGTTGGTCCTTGGAAAATATCTCTAAAAAATCCACCTTTTATTCCACGATTCTGGCTACTGAAGTCCTTGAAAAAATCCACGTTTTTGGCTACCTCGTTTGAGCGTTTCAAAAACTTCCTTCCAAAAATATATTCACAAATTTGGAAACAGTGTAAATTGAACTGTGGGAAAAAATAAAAACTTAATTTTTTAAAAATATATACAAATCCATTTCCAATGCAAATATTCACCTGTTTAATTACCAAAAAAAAAAATCCACTCATTATGGCTCTGGTGGACCTTAGTGGTCCAAGGAAAATTCTTTGTTGATCTTTGCATTTTTTTTTAAAAAATTCGCCATTGGCTGCACTTTTAGTCTTTGAAAAAAAAACGTTAAACAACTTCAAATTCTTTAAAGATCCACATTTAAGGATATTTTGTCCTTGAAAATGTACTTTGAAAAGCCTTGCCTGATAGTTCTGCCAATCCTGGGGAAAAATTCTTTGAAATGCTACGTCGGACGAGTGGCTTAGAAATGCCAGCAGTCTGAAGTTGGGTGTAGTTTTTTCATCTCAACCTGTATAGCCCTGTTGATCCTTGGAAAAAAAATTATAAAAAAAAATCCACGCTTTATGGCTCTGGTAGACCTTCTTTGTTGGTCTTTGCTAAAATTCTTTTAAAAATCCGCCATTGACTGCACTTTAAATCTTTGAAAAAAAATCTTTAAAAAACTCCAAATACTTTTAAAAAATACACATTTAAAGATGTTTTTTGTCCTTGAAATATATATTTGAAAAGCCTTCTGCCGGTCCTGGGAAAAATTCTTTGATATCCTACGTTTATGTTTTTTTGCCCTTGGAAATTATAGCTCATTTGATCCTTCAATAGAATCCTCGAAAACTTCACCATTTCCTCACCTTTAAAAAATATCACAATTTCATCTCTGCTGGACCTTGAATTTGCTGTTTTTTTTTAATCCGCAATTATATGACAACAGGTCCTCGATAATTACTTTAAATAATCTCCGATTGTTACTCGGCCAGTCCTCGGACAAAATTCATAAAAATGCACGACTCTCTGCAAGTCTTGGAAAAATAAGTCCACTTAAATTTTTTCCATTGAAATCGATCGGTAAAAAAAGACTTCAAAATATCGTAAACGGAATGACGGACCTAATGGTGGAGGGTATAAAAATCGTTTGCATTGGAACAACCTGTTTTTTGAAAAAATCATAAAAATTATTTAATTATTCACTCGGCGTTGCCTCACCACCATTTAATTTTGAATAAATTAACAATGGCAATTGAAATTTTGTTATTGTTTATTTTCCAATTTATTTTTTAATTTTTTCTTTGATTTCAAATGAAAATCCAGCCACGACGTCATTTAGCTGGGGACATACATAAATATCTATGTCGGTATGTATTCATGCCTGAAAGTCATCGCGATGAACTTTAACGTCATTGTCACCCATATCACCATAAACGTCAGCATGACGACGGCAATGATCCACCATTGCTAGCTCGATGTTCGATGTCTCCAAAAAACCTGTTACCTGTCTGTCGGTTGTTGGGTCTACCTGTGTCTGTCCCCCTCCCCGCTTTAGCTGTAAATATTTAATGATGACTTGTAATGAAGAGGTTTTTGTTGTTGTTAGTTTAACTCTTTTTTGTTGTTGTTGTCGACATGTTGAATGGATGTCTCCGTGTCTCCGTCTAGCAGTCATAATTGCTTTATGTTGTCGTAAAAGTTTGATTTGTTTCTTTGGTTTTATTTGGAATTCGAAGTGTTGTTGCTGGAATTTTCTTTAGTTTTTCAAGAAGTCGAATCCAAAAACGTGATAATTTATGCTAAATTTTTTGTTTACATGATATCCATGTATGTATGCAAATGTGATT